TGAGCTACTGCAAGGGTTCCATGCTTCCACTTTTAGATGGATAATAAATCTGATTTTTGTTACTTTTGATAATGAGTGAAGATTTAAGGTGACTCTAGAGAAAACAGCATAAAGGGAAGAACAGAAATTTTTTCAGATTTTATGATAATGTGCTCCCAAGAGAGCATGTGTAAGAAACCAAGATGGTAACAGAAGCTGCTTCTCACTAGCAATTTCTGAAGGAAAAAATGACTATATTTTAGTTTTAAACTCTCAAATAGTGTAAATTGTAAAGCATTCTACTTAGAGTCAAAAGTAATGGTTGGATCCAAATTAACCACTTCAGGTGTTCTAATGTTCGATTTATTTAAAGACAATATTGATTATTCACCATGAAATAGTTTTATATCAAATATATTCTTTAAACTTGTGTTCAGAGTGAGTAATGGTTGAAGCAGGGCCTGTAAAGGAAGTTCTGAGGGCAGGGCTGCATTTTACTATAATATTTTCTGCTGCAGACTAATAATGCAGAATAATCTAGGGTTCAATAGTGGAGAATTATTTTTTTAGTGGAGGATCAGGGCAGGATATTTACTTTTTTCTTGGGCCTCATCCTGCAGGTAGAAATAGCAGAAATAGAACAGCTGGGGGAGGAATCTGACAGAGTTGGGTGTTCTCCACCAACACATATGAACCTCCGGTGTCCTCTCCTCTCGCCAGGGTTTAAACTAACTGAATCCATGTTTTAACTAACCACTTTACTAATAGGTTGGAATCGCCAGTCTTGGAATCAGAGGTAGCTGTCACTGCCTTATTGGCTTGGGTTAAGCCACTGGTATCAACAAGCCGTAAGAATATAATTTGCTGAATTTGTGGCATACTAAATTCAACTTTTTTTCCTGAATGTAATGGTTTTCCATATATTATTAAGCCATTAAAACTTACATAGTTAGGCTGAACTTCAAAGCTGAGGCTGTTGCTTTTGTGTAACAACATAAACATCCCTAGATTTTGTTCCCATAAGACTAGCTCACAGTTTTTATATGTTTATGCCATGATTCCTCGTGGGGTATTTTAATAGAATCATAGAATCATGAAAGTTGGAAGGGGCCTATAAGGCCATCAAGTCCAACCTTCTGCTCAGTGCAGGAATTTTGCACATATGCCTGCGGACCAATAATCATACTCAACAGAGTATTGGTAGAATATGACTGAAGTCAATGGGGATTCAAATATAGGATGAATGAAAACAAGCATTGTGCATGTATCTACAAAATTGCAAGTTATGAAAAAAAACTAAAGAAGTGGCAGGTTGCAAGTGGAAAGAGGCATCTTGTAACTCCAGCTTTAAACCAGGCCCTAGTTTGTTTGTTTTTTACCCTGAGCATAGGAGAATCAGTTGTGTTATATTTCATAGCCTAAAGGTGACTTTCAAATTGCCAAACTATTTTTATTTGCTAAACTCTGTAGTTTACTGCCTAGCTCAAACAGATGTGCCACAAAAACAAATACTAAAGGAGGGGGTTGATTGAAAAGCTGACCAAAGACAATCACTATGATATGACCCTAACCATCATCCTAGCCCTGCAAGAACACTGCAGAAGAGAGGAATGCCATATTTTCCAGAGGAAGACAGTGGGTTACATGATCTCACATGATCTTGACAAAGTTTCTGTTTAAGCTACATGAAATACAAGATAAGAGGAAATTCCATTTTGCATTAAGAATTGAAATAAACCAAGCCTTTGCTTCAACAGTGGTTTAAGACAGAGTTGAACTGAAATGACAGCATTTAATGTGTGTGGACAACAAATGGAAACTGATTTCTCAAACAGGAAGTTGTACTAAGAAGCCTCACACAATCGCCTGAAGTAATTTTTCATCTCAATTTGACAGGCAGTTCAGTGATACAAAATGGAGGCTGCACTTTTATCTTGAAGACGCTGTGCTGATGCGCATTAAGCTGGGCATTACCATATTGGCCTCCTGTTGTGGTTTTCTCAGCATGAAGCTTCTGACTCCTCTCTGGGCTTCACAGAAGTGCTAGAGATGAACTCACTGGGATGGTATCAGGGCATCTTGTCCAAAGCCAGATAATGCGTTCAGCACTGCATGTTGACAAGGTGGATATATTGTAATATAGACGCTTGTTTGGATCAAAAATAAAACTACAAAAATTTACAAAGCTGTTAAACGTTAATGTTTTTTTTGTCAAAGATAAAATAAAACCTTGTTGTAAAGAACAACTGTGGCTTAATTATTTTTCCTGTTCTCTTTAATCTTGTTTCCAATTCCACAATTTTATAATTATGGGTGCAGCAACACTGCAAAGCTGAACCACAGCAATCCAGCTTTGCCACCACTTGATTCACAGCCTATTTTATACCTGTATTCAAATTAAGTGATCACATGGATACCACAGATTGTTTCAGAGCCAGTGTCCACACTAGACCCTCAATCCAATGTGGTTCAATCTGTGCCAGAGCCCACAGCCCCCCTTCCTTTGATTGTGCGCTCTGCCATCCTTGGTTCCCCTTTTATGGTTCATTATAAAGCCCATGAACTGTTTAAAGTGTTGCATGGCTTTAGAGAAAAGGAATGGTTTTCCAAAGTACCTCATAACATACAAACACATAAACATACACTTTAGAAACACAGTAGTATGTTGTAGTTCATTCAGTTGTTTCTATTTCATATTGATTGTTATCCTTTTTTTGTCCATGCAGAGGTAATTCAACACTAACTGATGTATCAATACAAGTGATAAGGTGATCTAGCACTAGACTCAGTTTGTTTAAATAATAATAATAATACTTTTGGGTGACTAGGGAGAAAGATCATGGGGGTGGGTGTTTCCACATCCAAAACATCATGCCCAGCTTAGTATGTCACAAAATACCACCCACAGTCAGTCACATCTCACAATTGTTTGCATGGAAAAAAACACCAAATCGCTCCAGCTTTTAAAAAACCCAGAAGCCCCCAGCAGCAGAGAAAAAACCTCCACATCTGAAGCAAAAAGGCCTGGACTAATTTGCATTTAAAACTGATCATGTGATTGTTTTCAAAAGTTCAAATTTATTTGTTCTGCATCGGCAGCAAATCCCACACTCTTTGCCAGTGTAGTCTCACTACAATGTAGTGTAGTTTCCATTGGCTAGACCAGCAATGGCGAACTTATGGCACATGTGCCACAGCTGGCATGCAGAGCCCTTTCTGTGGGCACGCAAGCCATAAGTTGCCGGATCGCTACTCCCCCCCCCCGCAGCCAAACCTCAGAAGGTAGCTGCAGCCACAGTGCTGATACTTCAACAGGCGGCGGGCCAGGATCCAGAGCAGCTAGCACTGGTGGTGGATCCAGAGTGGGGTCTTGAGGCACCTCCATGCCCAGGATTCCCCTTCCACCACTACTTCCAGTTCCGCCGCCACTGCTACCGCAGCCCGCCACCTGCTGGTGTGTTTTTTCCCCCAGTTTGGGCACTTGAACCCAAAAAGGTTTGGCGCCACTGGCCTAGACCATCCGATCACATTAAAAATAATGTCCCTTAGTATGTTTTATACCATATTTCATTTTCCTTGCACTTCAATAATTGCACTCCTTTTGTAATTTTTTCAAACAAGGTTTCAGAAGATTAATAAGTATTATAGAGATTGTCTTTATTTTCTCATCTAGAAAAAAATCCCAATGAGACTTGACTCTCTACCTTTATCATCTAGTTTGAAAGCAGAAATGTACAGGAAATGTACAAAAAATACATTGCCAATTCCAAATGGAAGAGGTTGGAAAGTCTGAACTTAAATGAAAAGGTTTATCACCTTTGACTGAACGCAAGTAGCTATTCTAGTTGTAAAATATTATCTTTGATGTGCCAACAAGTTCTAAACAAAGCATCCATCACGGACAACTCAACATTCTTGACTTCAAACTGCCACTATCATCACGTCAGGAAAGCCGTAAGAGATATCTCTTCCACGATCCTTCTGTCAAGAAACATCAGTGTCTACCCTTCACAGGGCTGTGTGGTAGGTTTTCAGATGAGATACACAGTATTATCACACCCTTTGCAACATCACATAGTATTAAGTCATGCAGACATGTCTTACCAAAGAGAACTTACTTCCTCACAACCAAGCAACGGTCAACATTTACCTGCAGCAATTTTCCACCCTTCACGTAGAATCAACAGTTCTGAACAAAACTGTGACCTAAACGTGAAAGATGGCCGTGGCCAGTTCTGCCTGTCATGTTCTCCCTTAGATCTGAGAAGCGTCGGGCTCCTTTTCCTGAAGTGACACGTTATGTTTAAAATTACCTTCGAAACGTAGCTTTGATAGAAATGACAGTGCAGTACGTCTGAAGTCATTTTAAATCATTTTACATTACAAGTAAAAACAAGGTAAAAATAAAAGCACAAATAAAAAAAGAAAAAAACGTGGTGACGCGTTAAAGACTCTTACACGTGAGCCTTCGTGGACAAGCCCACGTCGCTCAGTTAACGATGCAAGAACAGCTGTTAACCATCCTAGCTAAATCAAGCCTCCATTTACAGGGGTGGTCTTTTTATAAACACGCAAAAAGGGATCCTAAACAAGGGACATTCGCCGCCACTCTCTTGCCCTGCTTGTACATTTTCCCACAGCCAGGTGGCAACCCACATTTGAAATAAGGCTAGCGTAGGAATCAGACTTCAGTCTAATTCTGCCGAGGTTTTTGTTTTGTTTTGTTTCTTTGGTCCACTTGAGAGAAATGTACTGAGCCCACTTTCGGTGGTCGCATTTCAACTACAATTCCTAGGATCCGCCATCCTTGCCCACGCTAGCGGCGACCTTCTGCGCAACCACCGAGGAGGAACCGTGAACGACACAGTTCTCCCGGCACTTTTATTTTTATAAGGACAAGAGAGAGTTAAATGACAGGCTGGCTAGATCCCGTTCACCTGTCTCAAGACTCAGACGTGAAAGGGTGGAGACCAATACCATGCAGTTACCTATTGGCTGGCAAAAACGAGGGGAGGGGGGAACAGGACAGGGGCGGCGCTCCATTGGTGGAATGGACCACAACGTGGCCTTTTAACAACTCTTCGGGACGAGGCCTCCGTGTTAGCGCGAGAAAAAACACGTGACTTGCTCCGCTCGAGGCGGGTGGTTTGGAGAAAAGCGTGGTCTGTACAGGGGCTCCCATTGGCTGATGCGTGCACAGAAGGGGCGAGCTGGGCGGTACCATTTGTATGTGGATGTGGAGGGGTGATCTGAGAGGGGTTGCTGGCGGTGGCAGCGGAAGCACCGGCAGGCCGGTGGCCCCGTGAGTGGGTATGGCGCGTGGTTGTTCCTTGGCTGGGTAAGTAGAAGAGTGAAGGGGGGGGGCGGCGAGAAACGCCAGGCCGAGAGAGAGAGAGAGAGAGAGAGCGGCCAGCGGCAACTTCTGACCAGAGCGAAGAAGAAGAAAAGCCGGGCCCGGCCCGTTCTCTTCTCTTCCCTTCCCTTGGGGCGCCTTCTTCCTGTCTGGATGTATCCATGTGGCAAATATTCAGGAGGGAGAGAGAGCTGGGATAGTGTTCCTTCCACACCCGAGGATCAGGGCCGGGAGACCAGACGGAGAGGCAGAGTTGTCTCATCAACATAATTGGGAAAAGGGGATTTTAAGAAGTCGTCCTGTTGTGTTTGGGAAGAGGCTGCCTCAGGGCTCCTAGGTGTTTATGTGGGAAAAGTCCCTCAAGGCAAGAAGGAAAAAGGCAACAGCATGCCAGAGTTCCTCCCTCCCGGGCACACGCAGGGTGCGGACATCTGCACCACACCGCTGGACAATTAATTTGCCTTCCTTGCTGAGCTCCCGGTTGGGACTTTTAGGGAGGGGGCCCGGAGTGGATTTTGAAACTGAAAACGACTCCTTCTCTTCCGCAAGAACCTGGCACTTGCTCTTCTCCACTCAGAAAGTAAGCACGGAAGAAACAGAAAGGAAAACTCAGTGAACTACGCTTCTGCGCGTATAGCACAAAGATGGTGTTTATGTGCTTATAGCATTCTTCACTTAAAAATCAGCAACGAACAATGATTGGAAGGGCAATAAAAGAGAAAAAGAAGGTATTGTTAACCACCTAATAAAAATAAAAGGGGCTTTCAAAAACACAGAAAACAAAGGTGCATTCTTTTGGCACCTAAGGGGTAATAATGTACGTAAGCCTGTCTGTGAATTTCATTTGGGACGAAGAACAACCTGCAGCATACCTCTCAAAACAAGAGCATAAGACAGAGATTAGGGTCATTTTGAATGGTTAAAAACTTGTATAAATTCTACATATTGCTATTGAGTATTGTATTCTGTGCTGCTTCCTTGTGCTAGCAATATTACTGGGGTATAAGGAATGGTGATATTTATACACCAGTCAGCTACAATACTAAAAACACTGATAGGTGAAGTAAATAGTATTCTTTATATCATTACAGTGACACCTGTCAGGGGGTGGGATATATTAGGCAGCAAGTGAACAGTTCTTGAATTTCAAGTGTTGGAAGCGGAAAATATAGGCAAGTGAAAAAATCTGAGTGATTTTAACAAGGGTCAAATAGTGATGGCTAGACGACCAGGTCAAAGCAGCTCCCAAACAGCAAGGCTTATGTGGTGTTCCCGGTATGCAGTGCTTAGGTAAAGGTTCCCCTTGACATTTTTAGTCCAGTCGCAGTGATTAGTACCTACCAAAAGTGGTGCAAGGAAGGACATCTGGTGTCAAGGTTGCAGGCATCTAAGGCTCATTGATGTATTTGGGGAGTAAAAGTTAGCCTGTCTGGTGTGATCACACAGAAAAGCTCAAATTGCTGAAAAATGTAATGCTGGTCATGATGTGTATGGGCCTGTGTAGCTGCAGACTGGTCAGAGAGTGCACAATGACCCCTATCCACTGCCAAAAGCACCAATAGTGGTGATGTGAGCATAAGAACTGGATGAAGAGCCTCGTGGCGCAGTGGTTAAAACGCTGTATTGCAGCTAAAACTGTGCTCACGACCTGGGGTTCAAATCCCAGGTAGCCGGCTCAAGGTTGACTCAGCCTTCCATCCTTCCAAGGTCGGTAAAATGAGTACCTAGCAAGGTGTAGCCTGTATAATTAAAAAATTATAAACCGCCCGGAGAGTGCTTGTAGCGCTATGGGGCGGTATATAAGTCCAATAAATAAATAAATAAATAAATAAATAATCTAAAAGAAAATGTGATTCATCAGATCAGGTGGATGGCTGAGTGCATGTGCATCTCTTTTGGGGGAGAGATGGCAGCAGGATGCACTATGGGGAGAAGGCAGTCTGACAGGCAGTTTTATGCTCTGGACAATGTTCTGCTGGGCAACCTTGGGTCCTGTATTCATGTGGATATCACTTTGACATGTACCACCTACCCAGAGATTGTTGCAGACTACATACCCATTCATGGCAATGGTGGTCACTGACGGCCGTGTCCTATTTTCAGCAGGATTATGCACCCTACTACACCATAAAATCATTCAGGCATGGTTTGAGGAACATGACAGAGAATTCAGGGTGTTTCCTTGGCCTCCAAATTCCCAAGATCTCCATCTGATTTTGAGCATCTATTCTACGGGATGTGCTGGAACACCAAATGCAATCCATGGAGGCCCCACATCACAACTTGCAGGACTTGGTGCTAGATAACACAGAACACTATTGTCTTGATGCTACATACAACAGGACACGTTCTGAGGTTTTGGGGAGTCCATGCCTCAGCACATCAGAGCTGTTTTCGCAGCATAAGGGAAATTTACACGATATTAGGCTGGTGGTTTTAATGTTGTGACTGATCAGTGTATTTGCATAAGCTCTAAAGCCCTTAATGTTGGGCAGTCATCATTTGCCAACTTTATCAAGATAGTGAGGTTACAAATGTGAAAAACTCTTCAGTTTTTGAAACCCTGAAGCCATCGTGTGTTATCTCTGTTGGGGCTAGAACCCAGTTTGAAATCATACACCAGAACTATACACACACAAAGAGCAAGAGACAGAGTTATAGGAGAGTAGAATGCTGTGCAATGCTATTGCAGGACTAACTGACTGAACATTTCAGCTGGATATTACTCATGTTCTCTAATTGTCTTAGAACTGCAGAGCTGGAAGAGACCCTATTGATCATCAAGTCCAGCCCCTGTCAAGTGGAGAATTGAACTTCCACATTCTGGCTCTGCAGCCAGAAACTTGAACCACAGAGTTACCTTGCAGTACTGCTTGCACAGTGGCTTGCACAGCCACATAATCTGCTGGTAGGATAGTAACATGGGTTTTTGAGGTTAAAAGAACACTAGGACTCCCCATCTGTGGGATCAGTATAGGTGGTATCAATTATCCATAGTGTGAAAAATATTAAAAGAAAAAAATCCAGAAATAATGATGGTCACATGCATTACCAGAACCAACCACGAGGGGAGTCAAAGACCGTGCTATGAAAGCTTGTTAGTGAAGAATACATAGCATGGTCTCTGCCACCCTCTAATGGCCAGTTCTGGTAATGCATGTGGAAAAAATTCCTGTTTTTTCCCCCATTTTCCCCTACAATATATACTATGTTGTTTGCTATTATTTGATGTTTTCACTGTGCATTTTTCTCATTATAGTTCTGTGGGAGAGATCAGGCTGAGTCTGACTGGCCCAAGGTCACATCTTTGAGCCTTGTGGCCAAGAGAGGATTTGAATGCAGGTCTCTTGAATACTAGTTCAATATCTTAAACCACTATACTACATTGCCTATTTACAGCTACATGTACTTCAGTTGCAGGTCCATTCCTGGCATCACCTAATCTATTCTTTGCCATCTTGAATTATATTAATACTGTTGTTTTTATTTTAAATTGCTTTTTAAAATTTATACCCCGTCCATCTAGACTTCGGTCTAGATGGGCGGGGTATAAATTGAATAAATAAATAAATAAAATTCTTGCAGTCAAATACACTCACTGCTTTCCTGTAGGGGGTATTCATATAACTATACTTCGTGTAGACTATGCATGTGCATGGAAGTACTCAGTAGGGACAGAAAAGTATATATCCTGTTCCACTTTTGATTTATTTTCATTGTGTGTTCATAGTTTTTACTCATATGTTGGCTTGATAGTTATGCATGAAAGATTCAGCAGCAGTTCTGAATTTTAGAGGACAGCTGTATTGAAAAAGTAATGTGATATGACAGTGGGCACATGTCTTAATCCATGAACATCTTGAGAAGTGTGGGGCAAAGGCCGAGTCTTCCACTCATGTTCCTCTCCTGTGGTTTTCAGAGTCTCCTGCTCAGATGTTTGTACATTTTCTTTTCCTCGTATCTCCTCTTCTTCCCCCTCTTAGTTACATTTTCTTCATAGTGGTCTCTGTGAATGCACACAAATGGGTTATCCTGCGCCTGTGCAGGAACGTTCGGAAGATTCTAGAGCTTAAGAAAAAAGAGTCAATTAGCTCCCCCCCCGCGGGGTATATAAGCCCTGCTTCCTCCATCTTCCTTTCAGTTCCTCTTTTTCTGCCGTTGCTGTAGGATGTAGGAAGAGCAGAGCTATCGACCGTTACGTACCTAGCTAGCAAGCTACCTTTTTTCTCTTTTTCTATTATTTACTTTAATGGTTATTCAACAGAACTGGTTGATTTTCAGTTTATTCTTGTGTTCTGTCGCATTCCCCCACCCTGATCAATGATCCCCTTTTTTTCTTTTGTTTATGGCCCCTTGGGGCTTCAAGCAGTGTGTTGTCTGCTTCCAAAAAATTCCTTTATCAGACAGACATGATAAATGCTTGTTTTGTCTTGGAGAATCATATCAAGATCAGTCTTGTTCTGCTTGCAAAGATTTTTCAAAGCAAGCAAGTTGAGGTGCCAAAGACTTTGAGCTTTCCTTTACGAAAAGACTCTGTCTCCAAACATGGAAAGCGCCTCCCTCACAGCACTGTCCCTGCCGCATGCTGAGGCTTCTAAACAGGACTCTTCGGCAAGTCAACCGCTGCCTACCGTCTCTGTGCCGGTTAAGACTAAGGACACTTCCAAACCGCCAAAAGCTAAACCGCCTTCTCGCCCTGCGAAAAAGAAGGCTACCAATAAGGCTAAGAGAGCGAAGAAACTGGCCAAGTTGCCTGTTCTGCCTCATCCTGCTCCTTCGATATCGCTCGAGGAGTCTTTGAGGGAAGCAATTGGACTCTGATGCAGAGGAGCACATTCCTTTAGCCCAGACGGCTCAGGAAGATATGTGCATGCTACCAAACTTGGGCCAATTTGAGGCTGAGCCAGACGCCAGCCGGGCCGCTGCCCATTCAAGCCCTCGATACTCAGGGCGGGCTGATACCGAGTCTTCATCTGAACAGGAGTCTGATCATGAAACTCCTAGGAAGCGTACCGCGAAGCACAAAAATATCGCTCCGTACCAGCCTCGGGATGGAGGAGATGGGTACTGTCCGCGAGGACTGCTACAGTTTGGCCATTCTTTTTACGCTCCGTTCCAACCGTGTCCGTACCCTGGCTACGCCTACCAGTCGGAGCCTCAGACACAAGTACAGTGGCACCATACTGTGGCTTCCTCTATCCCGTGCCAGCCACATACTCAACATGACTTCCCTACACCTCAAGTACCATCTCGCAAGAGGCAATTTACCACGGTACCTACAGCAGTTCCCAAGCATGCTAAGTACAGTACCGGACCCTCTTTGGTTCGAGCTACGATGCTCTGCTCCGGTCCTGATGCCCACTATACTGTGCCCTTCTCCCAATCCACCCAATCGGATGTGGAAATGGTGCCAGAAGACACAGTACTGAGACGCTGTCCTTCGATTGCCTCGCAGTCGTCTAATCCATCTATGGTTTCCACCGACTGACGCTCCTGACGCTGCTGCCCAAGGCTCGTCATCTCAGCCTTCGTCAGAGGACTTTTCATCTTATGCACAGCTTATTATGCGGATCGCGAAAACCCTACAGCTTGATGCAGAAATCCCTCAACAAGAATGGGACCTTGTTTTCCATGATATGGAACAGGACAAAACCTCTCCTTGCAGCTGTATTCCTTCGCCGCAATGCTGATTAAAATTGCTAACTACCAGGCCACCATAGGCGCCTATCAGAAGCACTTGTGGGACAAGATAGTTCCAGTACTGCAATCCTTACCTGACCCCCTCAAAAGCAGAAGCCCTTAATGTTTATGATGAGGCTAACACTCTTACTAGGCAACAGCGGTTTGCTGCAAAACACACAGCTGACATCGCTGCTAAATCCATGCTGACTGCCATTGCTGTTAGACGCCATGCCTGGCTCAGAACAGCCAACATCCTTGAAGACACTAAGACCAAGATTGAGGAGCTTCCCTTCGATGCTGCAGGACTCTTTAACTCTAAAACGGATGAGACTATGGACAATATCCATAAGATGAGAAAGACAGCGAAATCCTACGTACCATACCAGCCGTATATGTTCCAAAAGTTTGCCTACAAAAAGCCACAGTACCAATCGTCTACTCAGTACCAAACCTCTAGGTACAGCAAGCAACAGCAGGACCGCACTTACCAAGCGCAACAGCCTCCTACTCCTCTGCTCAAGCAGCAACGCTTTCGCAGCCCTAAGCAGTCCTTTTGCAAGACCCAGCATAGGGGTAAGCAATTCTCATGAATCTCCCTTTCATACAAGATTATCCCCATTCCTGCAAGAATGGAAAAGCATCACTACTGACAAGTGGGTCCTTAGTATTATTCAACATAGATATAGAATAGAATTTTTCTGTATCCCTCCACCAGATTTCACCAGACCTACCCCTTTTCCATGCCACTCCATTTGAAAATCTCATCTCTGTTATTCAAAGGGGCCATAATCCAAATTCCATCTGACAGTACCGATGGGTTTTTCTCACACTATTTCGCAGTCCCCAAAAACGATGGGGGCATAAGGCCCATCATGGACTTAAGAGATCTTAACCGGTACATACTTCACAAGAAATTTTGTATGCTCACCCTTGACTCCATTCTCCCCCTTTTGTCTCAGGGAAACTAGTTCATTACCATTGATCTCCAGGATGCATACTTTAATATCTCCATCCACCCGTCTGAACAAAAATTTCTCCGGTTCCGGTTCCATCACGATACCTTCCAATTCACCGCCCTACCGTTCGGGCTCTCAACGGCCCCCAGGACATTTACAAAATGCATGGCACCAGTCGTCGCGTACCTACGGACCCAAAAGATAAAAATCTTTCCTTATATCAACGACTGGTTTCTGGTGGCCCGATCCTATCACGAAGCACTCTCAGCCACAAGATTTACCCTGTCCACCCTAAAGAAATTAGGACTAAAAATCAATGCAAAAAAGTCCAATCTCATACCTTCTCAAGTAGTCTCCTACATAGGAGCAACCTTGGACTCTGTTCACACGAAGGCCTTTCTTCCACCACAGCGAATTCGAAAGAGCAAAAAAGCTATGAGGATACTGAACAGGGGACCAGAATTACTGCAAAACAGTGCCTTCAGGTCTTGTCTCAAGAGACGACCTGTTGTCAATACTACTGAAAGCTGCTGAGAGATCCAGTAGACACAGTCTTCCTGCTTGGTTCTTAGTATCATCCACAAAGGTAGTCAAAGCTGTTTCCATCCCATAGCAAAGGCTGGAATTAGACTGCATCAGAGCAAAAATAATCTGTCTCATCCAGGGATCCCAGAATAGTAGCTTGGCTGGTGCTCTTGCATCCTCCCCATGCTAGAAAGGAGTTGGTAATGTTGTTGCTTTGGCTGGGCTGTACGTGTTCTATGTTACCTTCCTTAAGAGCGGTAAAATGCTGCACCGTTTGGATCTCTTTAATGAAATGTGGTAAACTGAACATAAGGTAAAGGTTCCCCTTGACAATTTTTTGTCCAGTTGTGTTCGACTCTAGGGAGCGGTGCTCATCCCCGTTTCCAAGCCATAGAGCCAGCGTTTTGTCCGAAGACAATCTTCCGTGATCTCATGGCCAGTGCGACTTAGACACGGAACGCTGTTACCTTCCCACCGAGGTGGTCCCTCTTTATCTACTTGCATTTGCATGCTTTCAAACCGCTAGGTTGGCGGGAGCTGGGACAAGCGACGGGGGCTCACTCCGTTGCATGGATTCGATCTTACGACTGCTTGGTCTTCTGACCCTGCAGCACAGGCTTCTGCGGTTTAGCCCACAGCACCACCACGTCCCTAAACTGAACATAGTTTTATTTAAAAAGCTGGATTTTTATTCAAAAGCTGTGACAAAATCTGAACTCTAGCTGAAATCTGTTATGAAGTGCCCCTAGGAAAGAAAACCATGCTCTTTGTGCAGCAGTATTCAACTGGGTTGCAAAACCCACTCAAAGGCCACTACAGTGGGGTCTCGACTTAAGAACTTAATCCGTATTGGAAGGTGGTTCTCAAGTCGAAAAGTTCTTAAGTCGAATCTGCATTTCCCATAGGAATGCATTGAAAACCATTTAATCGGTATCTGCTCTTTTCTGTCCATAGAAACTAATGGGAAGCTGCTATTCT